CTGAAATGAAGAGAATCCTCACTGCTGATCACTTGGTGAAAAAAAAAAGAAAAGAAAATTGGGAACCCCCAAACCAGCTGTTGGCATAATAGAAACAGCAGGTCGGGGGCTCCCCAGAGCACCGTGGCTGACGGAGCATGGCTTCAGCTGGGACCCTCTGCTCTGGGCTGGCCCCGCATTTCCCCTGTGTGAGTACTCAGGGGTCCCATGTCCCCATATCAAGGTGGATAGACCTCCCGAGCAAAACCAGGAAAACAAGAGAACAAGAAAGACATGGGCTGTTGGTCTGGGGCCAAGCCAGGGACCCCTGCTCGGGCGTCCAACATTAGCCGGGCCCTCAGAGAGGGGTCCAAGGGCGAAGAGTGGAAATAAACAGCTGAAGAAATTCCCAAGGCTCACGGACTGACGAGTGTCTTTTTTCTGGGCAGTGAGAGATGAGTCTCTGGAAAGAGAGGGGCTGGCCCTTTCCCTTGCCCCTGACCAGTCATGTCCCCTTTCCTGCCACTTGTCACAGAGGTATGATGGCCACTGACATCCCTGTCTCCCCCAATACCCAAGAGCCCGTCTGTTTGTTGAACAAATGAACACATGACCTGCAGACCAGCAGGTGGTTGGGGGCTGGGAGGGGCACCAGACACACCTGAGCTGGGCCCCCACTGAGTCCCTCTCCTCACCGTGGGAGCATCTGGAGCCTCAGTGTCCTCATCTGTGAAATGGGGATGACTGAACGCTCCTGTGGGGCGTGGTATGGACCAAATGAGAGAACGCATGGGGTCAGGACCATGTCTGTTTTGTTCGCTGCGGTATCCCAGGGCCTAGACCAATCCAGGGCACAGAGCAGGCCCTCAAACATTTGTTGGGTGAGTGAATAAATGAATGAGCCCACAAACAACAACAGTATCTTCAGCGTTTTGGTATTTAGAGCTGGGCGCACCTCAGCCCCGTGCCTTGCAGTTTTGACTGCAGAATGAAGTCACAGTGAATTGCAGTGGTGTCCAGCGGCTCACAGCACCGTGAAGGGTCAGGCAGGTGCTCCGCGTGGATCTGGGTTGTGGGTGGCAGGACGAGGCGGGGCCGGGAGGTGTTGCCTGTGCTGAATGAGACCCCGTGAGAGGGAAGAGTCAGCACAGGATGTGTGTTACAGATGGCGTCACAGTCGGCCTCCAGGCTTGATAACTAGAAAAACACGTGGGTGTTTGGTCGTGGCGTCTGGATCGGTGGCAGTGGGGAATTTCTATGAACGATGGGGAAATCGCTGCTGGGCAGAGTCTGTGCCAACACAGTGAGCAGGAGAATCGTCATGTTATGTGGTGAATGGGCAGAAGCGGGCTCCTCTCCTGCTCAGAGCTCAGGGGACATTTGAGGTCCGACTGACCAGGGCAAGGAAACCAGGGAGCCATGTATGCATGCACCTGGCTCCAGTTCTGGGGGGTCTCCCCCCAAGATAGACAGTGGAGCTGAAAGCAGCCTCTGTGCCCACGTTAGCAGTGGCACGTGTGGACTTCAGCTACCAGCAAGGCCCGGGGTGGGTCTAGGTGGGTCCTGCTCAGATCTTCAGGACTGGGCACAGCTGGGTGAGATGCAGTATGCAGAGGTCAGTGTTGTGGAGCCCCCACCTACTGGAGGTCCTCTTCGGACTCGCCCAGCCACGGAATGTGGGCGAGGACCTGAAAGGAGCCACAGCCTCGCCCACAGCCTGATCCCCTCTCTGCTTCCTGCACAGGGCTGGCTCCACATCTCATCTGAACCATCCTGTGTCTTGGGAATAGTCCCCATTTCATAGGTGAGGAAACCGAGGCTCATAGAAGTCATATGACCTGCTCAAGGTGGCACGGCAGGGAGTGACATAGCAGAATTTGCTCTGGGCTGTCCACCTTCAGTTCCTGTCCTTCCCACTGCCCCACCTGCCACCCAGCAGGTGGACCAAAGCATGAGGGTGCACCTAGGACAGCTGGCCGATGAGGCTGGCATTTAAGCAAAGGTGTGACCCGCTGGGAACTCTAGGTCAGGGGCTGCAAACTAGGGCTGTCAGACAAAGTTTTATTAGAACACAGCCATGCTTGTTTGTTTACACTGGTCCGTCGCTGCTTTTCAGACACAGCAGCAGAGTTTTGACAGAGACTGCATGGCCTGCAAAGCATAAATATTTCCTATCTGGCCTTTTACAGATAGGATTCACGGACTCCCATTCTAGACTGTAGGACCTTGAGAGGACTTCAGCAGGACCATTTCCCCCCTCTCCGTTAGTCCCCCACCCCGTCCTGCATGGCTGGCCTCTGAGCCCCGGAGAGAACTCAGAGCTGCCGCTCTCGGCTGCCTGCGAGGCAGAGCACAAGGGGCTTTATCTACTTCAACAGGTGTTTAGAAATGCCTCATAAAACCAAGCCCCAATTACAGATGTGGAAACTGAGGCTTTGCAGAGCTAAATCACTTCTCCAAGGTCACACAGCGGCCCCAGCTCTGGTCCCAGCTCCTCCAGACCCCATGGGCTGGTGGAGGGCAGGAGTCCAGCGTGGGCTGGGATGACAGGGGAGGGCCAGTAGTGATTTCCTGCCTGGCCAACCCTCAGGCTGAGAGAGCCACGTCTCTGTTGTGAGCCTGTGTGTTGATGTTCCCAACAGTCACGCTGTCCGTTCCCCTGGAGGTTCCCCAGTGCTGGGGTTTCATCATCACGGGGATTAAATAGTCACAGCCCCTGTATGATTGATTCTTATCACTTGAGTTTATGTTTATGTTATTATCACAGTTAGAGGCTTGTTAAACCAAATTATTAGAGCCAATCTAGAAATTGTGGTGAAATGAACCAGCCGCATGTGTGGTTATTCCTCAGTGTAGTAGTTCCTTTTTAAATTAAAAAAAATAATAATAGATGTTATTTCTTAGAGCAGCGAGTGAGGGCTCACCGCTGGAAACACTGGAAGCATTGAGCCTCGTCTGCACGTGCTTCCCCTGGCTGTGCACAAAGCCTGGGCCAGGGTGGGGAATGCAGGGGGTCTGCGCCTATCCCAGCTCTGGACGGCCAGCCCCGGAGAGGCAGCTTTGTTCAGGGCTAATCTCTTATTTGGAAAGGTTGCTTTTCATCAGCAGTTATGCACTCTCTGGTCCTGGGCTCTCTTTGACCTTCAAGATCAGCCTGCTCAGCTTCAGAGTAGAACTCCAGGTGCTTCTGCCTTTGGAGCACAGTTTGAAGGAGGCTGGGTGGGCTGGGATGAGCCACTGACCAGCACCTATCCCTGGGACCCCTCCTCTGCCAGCGTAGCTCCCTGCTCTCCTGCAGGCCTCCCAGGCAGCAGTTTCCTGTCCAAAGAAACAGTCACAGCCGGCACAGATCGGCCTGGCCAGAACAGCCTGTCCCTGTCTTGGGGCCACACAGACAAAACCCTGGGCGCTGCCCTGTGCTGGCCCGGTGCCCTCTGGCTCCTGCCATGTACTGTCGGCCACTCCCTGTGCCTGTCTGCTCATCAGCACTCGCAATGGCAGCACTAACTGCCAGGAGGGGTCCAGGCACCCTCTGGGACGTGCCCATTCTGTATGCGTCACCCACAGGCAAGGGGCAAGAGCACCCCAGGGGAAGCAAGCAGGGTTTGCAGGGTTTTGCCATGGCCACTCTGGCTTCTCTTCACGTGTACCTGTTCCGGAAATTCAGCTGCTGCAGCAGGTGCAAAGAATGAATCCCTCCTGTGGGGCAAGAAGGCTCACACCTCCAATGCACGGCGATGCTCCAACCTGTGGTCCCAAGGCCAGGGTAGGAAGATGCCAGGGGAGGGCACCTGCGGGAGCTGCACGGTGCAGTGTCTGCCTCCCACCATGAGAGGGCAGCACCAGAGCCCGGATGCGTGGAGGCTGCCCCAGGCGAGCGGTGTTGGCCTCCCCGCCGCCCAAATATATTTCCAGTAGCCTGGAAACTGTGATGTCCGGTGCGTGTTCTTTAAAATAACAACAGCTGTTGTTTACTGAGCACTTGTTGTTTTCTGGGCTGGTTGCTAGGCAAATATTTTTGCCCAAGGTCCTAGCATCCCCAGGGCCAGGTAATGTGGACAGAAGGCCAGACAGACAGAGGGAGTTCCAAGGACTCACTGAGGTCACAGCACATGGGAGGAGCACTGAGACTGCATCCTGGGCCGGCTGCCCCCAGGAATCTGAAGCTGACGTTTCACTCTTACTGGCCCAGAGCCAGACGCAGTGGTGCAGAAACTCGCCTTGTCTGACAGCGAAGAGATGGGGGTGTATCGTTCCCGTGTCCCTAGTAGCCGAGAACATAACAGTTCTGCAGCTCCACGTCCCCTCCCCTGCAGTCTCTGATGGAGCCTCGGGTGGGACAGGGGGAGTCACTGCGCGTCACCCTGCAGGAGCCCTGAGCGGGCGCTGTCTGAGGTTTCTAGCACAGGTCTAGCACCTTGTTCTGCACGGGGAGTCCAAGATTCAAGCCCGGGAGGTCCTCACCTTCTGCTCCCTCCCATCGGCTTTATTAATAGATGCAGTGGTTTCTGCAGTGACACTGTAGGGAGGAGTGTGGGGCAGGCTGCTGTGGACACATAACCCAGGGTGGAAGTTGTCAGCGCAGCTTCCAGGGCTGCAGACCGAAGTCATAGGGATCCTCACTGGACTCCGCACTGTCTGGTTTGCTGTGTATTTTCCTGAGCTCTGAAACATGACAAGCATTGGCACCGGGATCTGGGGTGCCCAGGGCAGTGCCCAATCACTTTCAGGCCATTCACCTCCTTTCCTGCTCCTGCTTCTCCAGACAGACACCTCTCCCTCCCCCCACGCGGCTGACACCCACTACCCCTGGGCTGCTCAGAGCCTCTCTGCCGAAGGCCTGCTGGCCCTGGACTGGTCAGACTCCCTCTGAGGGCGGGAATCCAGAGGAGGAAAGATGTCCCGCTGGCTCTGGCTGCCCGGCTGCAGGGCCCCAGGAGTGGATGGGGGCAGGTTGGACACTGGACAGAGAAACGGCCTCCTCTGTCTGAGATATGGGTCCTTGATTTTTTACAACGGCGATGAGGCGATCTTCCCGGCCTGGAGCTCGATCAGTGCTAGCGTTTAGTGATTGCGTAAACACATGAGCTCCTGTGTGTAAATACATGTAGACCACAAATGAAGGGTGGCAGGGGTTTCCTGGGCCTGCGCCACAGCCCTTGGCCCACCTGTGGTTTCGGCTGCAGCCAGGTCAGCCGTTTCCAGCACCTGCAGCACCGTTGGCTTCTGTGACTTTGAAATGTGCTCAGCCCAGACACACACCAGATGGTCCAGAAAAGGGGGTACGGGAGTTCAGCCTTTGGGGTGACCCTCATGCACATGGAACAGGAGGTGGAGGACCAGTGCCCAGCTCCCTTCCTCCTGAGGGCTGAACCAGGGCATGTTCTACATGACTCCCTGGAGGGCCCCTGAGGAGTGAGTCCCCAGCCCCTACAGAGTGACCAGTTCAAAAACACGCCTGCCAGTAGCTTCACCTTCCCTGCTCCTCACTCCTTCCTGCCACCTGGGATCCCCCACATGAACCCCACCCATAGTCTTGTCTCAGACTCAGCTTCAAGGGAACCCAAACCAAGACAGGAGGAGTTGGCATTAGAAGATAGTGGAAATAAATGGAGACCAACCCCATGAGAAAAATGAAGGCTGCTTATTCAGACCTGCTATGGCAAGGGTGTGTGCCAGGGTCACTTGCATTTGGCAGAGATTAGAAGGCAGGCCGAGGAGTGGGCAAGCTTCCCAGTGGGGAGAGGAGGCTGCAGGTTTGCCCGAAGGGAGGCTGTCTGCTTGGGGAACTGGGGTGGTTCACTGGAAGTGGAGTTCCCATGGGATCGGTTAAGGGGGCATATTTGGCTTTCTCTGATTGAGCCTGAAGTGGAAGCAGGAGCAAAAATTAGCAAGCTATTAGTTATTAACCAAGTCCTGGTCATTTGGGGTTGATTGTTACAGTTACCTTTTAGCTTCCTGACTGTTAGAGAGGTAGTGTCTACCTTCCTACAGGTCTGACTTGCAGCAGGCTGGCTTCCTGGCCGCTTATCTGTTGTAGACAGGGGTGGGGGTGTTGGGGGGAGTGTTTCTGGGCAGGTAGCTGCAGGTAGTGGGTCAGAATTCTATTCTTATATATGGTCTGGCCCTTGTCAGTGGGTATATTCAGTCTGTCAGTGTGATCATTCAGACTGAACTATACAATCCATAGAAAGCACCGGGCACGGCGCCTGGTCTCAGTGACAGCTCATTCTTACTGTTGCTGATGATTCTTGCCCACCCAAATGGGGAGTGATCTGCAGAGTGCAGAGGATGGACAGGGGGTGGTGCCTCGGGCCCTGTCCCCTGGTCTCTGTCCTGTCTGGAAGGCCAGCCACTGTACGGGCTTCCTATTGCCGCTGTAATAGACAGACACCGACTTACAGCAATACGAATGTGTTCTCTTACTGTTCCCCAGGTCAGAAGTCCTACATGGGTCTCACTGAGTTAAAATCAAGATGTGGGCAGGGCTGGTTCCTTCTGGAGGCTCCAGGGGACCACCCGTTTCCTTGCCATTTCTGGCTCCTGCATGTCACATCTGGTGGCCCCTGGCCCTTCCTCCGCCTTCAGAGCCAGCCACACCACATCACTCTCTGACCACAGTTGGGAAATGCTGTCTAATTTTAGGACCCTCTGCTTACATTGGGTGCACTTGGATAGTTTAGGACGATCTCCCAAAGTCCTTAATTTAATCACATCTGCAAAGTCCTCTTTGCCATGTCAAGAAACCTACTCACAGAGGTGGGAGGTAAGGACATGGACGTCTTTGAGGGCCATGGTTCTGCCAACCACAGCCAGTAGCCACAGGACCTCCTGCCTAAGCCCCCTACTCTTATCCTGAGTTCAGGGACCCCCAGTCCTTCCCAGTTAATTTACTGTCTCAAGCCAGCATTTATGGAGCATCAGCTGGGCACGTGGCCTTTCTCACTGAGGTCCTCTGCAGCTGCTCCTCCCCCGCCCGCCCTCCCCCAGCCCACAGGACCCACCATGGATCCTGCTTGGGTCCCTGAGTGGCTGGGCCCTCTGCCCTGCTGGCCTCCACCTCTGTCTACAACTCCTCATGCTCTGAAACTCACGTGACTCCCCTGGGAAAGAGCATCCCCCATGCCAGCTCTGCACCTGCTTGTCCCTGCTGCTCGCCTGGCTGCGTCCACTGCTGGGCTGGGCTTCTCACTGGGGGCCTGTGCGCTGGCCTGCACAGGTGCTCTAGGAGAATGTAGGTGGGGAAGGCGTGGCCCCGTCTGTCCTGATCCATCCGGCCATGGGTTCCAGCACGTTCTTAAACATTCTACACCGTGACCAGCTTTAAGCAGACAGAAACATTCAGGTTGATGTCTCAGGACCCAGGGGAAACTTGAAGTCAGCTCCCATGGGGACTGTGGCTATTGCAATTGCAGAAGAGAGGACACTGGCCCTTGACTTCTGAAGGGCTGCTGGGCTCACCAGGGGGACCTCTTGCTGCTGAGATGCTGGAGGGTCAAGGTCGTGCCAGGCCCTTCAGGAGGGGGTGGTGATGGTGTGCTGCAGGACCACTCACTGGTGGGGCTGCCATAGACGGGACCCTCCCACACATACACTGAGGGGCGGCCAGATGGCCTTAGCCCTCAGGGTCCCCATCTGTCCCATCATGTGCTTCCCATTGGTCCCCAGACATCTGTCCCCTGATGCTCTGTGTGGCTTGCTGGGTGGGGTGGGGCCCTGAGTCCTCACACTCTGGCTGGTTTGCTCACCCTGTGCCTGGCACAGCCCACCCTTTAATGCAGCTCCTTTCTCCTGACAGTGTCACAGCCCCAGGCAGCTCACAGCCCCCTGGAGAAGCCGCCCAGCACAGCAATCCTGTGCCACACGTGTGGAAATGTGTGCAAGGGGGAAGTGCTGCGGGTGCAGAACAAGTACTTCCACATCAAGTGCTTCGTGTGCAAAGGTGAGTGGCTCTCGGGATGACCTGTGGTGGGGCACGGCGGTTCTGGGCTCTCCAGTGCCCCTGAGAGGCACTGGGCATTGGAAAAGCTCAGAGTGTAGAACCCTCATGCAACACTGTGATCTTTTCAATGTCGCCTGCATCACTTGTGGGTGTGATGGAGGAAACTGCCAGAGTGGGGAGGGTCAGGGGACGATGGTCTAGGTCCCTGGGGCGCCCTCATACAGATGCACCCAGCTTCAGTGAATCCAATCCTGCGACCAGAGCAGAGTGGCCACCTGGGCACTATAGCCAAGAATGGTCATTGTCGGCCACATGGACTCAACAGTGGGGGTGCATAGGACCTCTGCTGGGCCACCGGCACCCAGTCCCCCACCCAGGTGGCACAGAGAATACCACCATACATTGCAAATGAAAATCGTTTTGATTTTCTCTGGTTGCAAAAAATTATGTAAATAACATACTAAATTCAAATACTACCAAAGAGATGAGAAGAAAGTAAAACAAAAATCAGCTGAAATCCTTCTATCGGAGGCGGCTCCTGTGGGAGCAAGCTTCCTGCCCTGTCTGTCATCTTATCCTGAAGATCACGTGTGTCCCACTGCACACAAATGGGACTAGATGTATCTGCATTTAATTTCCTAAAAGTATATGAGAAATAGCATTTGGGAGAAGGGAGAGGCAAATCAAACCAATTGGACATGGTCTCCCAACCCCAAGAGTTTGCAGGCTTAAAGAAATTAAATGAATGACGCTGCAAGTACGTGCGTCTTTGTGGCGTGCAGTGTGGTCACAACCTGCTTTTACACGGGTTTGCTACGAGCTTCTCCTCGGCCACTCGGCCATTCAGAGAGTCGCCCCGCCTTGGGGTTAATAACGCCCTGGTGAACTGTGGGTCCAACAGGGTTTGCTTTTTACGGGAAAACAAAGTCAGGAAACATGCCACAACAGATGGAGGGACGTGATTTTCGTCAGACTGTGCCGGCCTCGTTCAGCGACCGCGGGCCACACCTGCTCACCTCCAGGGTCTCGGGAGGCCCCGGTGGCCCAGCCCGGCCCGGCCCAAAAGAACGCAGAGGCGCGACCTGTGCCTTCCACGTGCTCACGGTCTGGGGAGCGAGCAGCGCGGCTTGAAATGAGGACTTGTCGTTGTAAAAATCAAGTGTGGGGGAGGCGCGCCCCTAGGGAAGGATTTAGAAGCTTCCAGAGAGGACTTCACAAAGGAGGTGGCATTTGGCTATTCCGAGGATGTAGTACGCATCCGCCAGTCAGAGGCGACGCCGTTACAGACGGAAGGGCGTCCTCCCCGCAGGGGACATGATGCCCTGAGAATCGCCAGGATCCGGAGGTCTCTTGGGTGCCCACAGCCTGGCTTGGCCCCCTGTGAACTCTCCCCATGACCCCCATATTCCCAGATACATGTCACCACTGCCCTGGCAAAGGTGGCCAGAGCCCAAGTCCTGATGATGTGATGCAGGGACACCCCGCGGACGGCAGCTTTGGGGACTGTTTTGGAAGAACTGTGAGGTGAACATCACGCCCCCGGGCGCACCCGGGAAGGCTCTGTGTTCCCGGTGCAGGTGGAGCAGGTGCGTGTTCTTCCTGGGGAGGGGCCCGCCTCCACGTTCCCACAGATGACGCCCGACCGGCCTTCCTTTTCCCAGGACGCCGTGTCCACCTGCCTCGGGATCCAGAAGTAAGGGGACGCGTCAGCGCCAGGGGGCTCTTTCCCGAGGAGGAGGAGGTGGCCCATCCTGGTCGCCCGTCCCCTGCCTGTGCACGGCATTTCCTCCCCGACACCTGAAGATTTTTCACTGGGGCTTTCCAGGGCATTGTGGGATTTGTCTGATTTAATTTTCTCAACTCTCCATAAAAATACATTCACTACATTTCTAAGAGGCAAAATCTATTAGATTGCTCTTTTAAAAGCTTATTTTAAATGACAAAGGGAAAGTACGCACTTTATTTAAAAGGATTTTCTGTGTGCACAGACCTTAGGAATGTAATAAAACGCGTCAGACACCCAGAGCCAAGTCCCTCGCCTGGCACAGCCCATGGGGTTTGGTAGGTGGTGGGAACTGCCCCGGTCTCCTCCCGACGGTGTCACTCTGGCAGGTCACTTCATCCTCTGTAGGCTGCGGGAGTAACTGCGGCCCTTTTCCTACCAGCTTGTGGGTGAGGCGAGGTGGTCTCTGGGACTCACGCTTGCTTGGTGGCAGCTGCCCGGGGCAGATTGGTGACAGTAGAGCAGCCGTGCAGGGGTCCATGGGCACACAGGCCCAGTTCCAAGACCCACCACCCACCCACAGCCAGGGAGAGAGCTCACCCTGTGCCAGGCCCCTGTGGACACAGTGGGGGCTCTGCCCTCAGAGGTGTCCTCTGTGCTGCTGCTGCTGAAGAACAGCCTGCAGCCACCAGGAGCCCTGTGAGCTTCACAGAAAAGCTGCCTTTGTTCAGTTGCGAGGACCGCACAGCCTTGGATTGATCTTTTATCAGGCTCTCATGAAAATGCACTTTATAAATCATCGAGGGAGCTTCTGAACAAGAAAAATAGAAGACCCAGCGCAGTGTCTCGGACAACGTGGATATTTGCCGACTTTACGTGAAGTCTGTTCTTTCTCCCCCCCCTTCCCCCAGCCTCTCCCACATCTCGTCCTGTGACGTCAGCAATGCCTTTCCTCATGGTCTCAAGACGGCTGCTATAGCTCCAACATCACACCCCACAGGGTGGCATCCAGGCTGGGAAGCGGTTGGGGCGAGATGTGCACAGGCTAAGGGCCTCTCCTCCCCTGACTCTCCCTTTGATCAAGGAGAACCTTCCCTGACGCCCTCCACAGACTCCCCATAGGACTCGGCCAGAACTGAGTCCCCCGCCCACCCTGCTAGCAAAGAGGAATGGGGGGATGGTGACTGACCTAGGCCAGTCGTGCGCATCCTCGGTGGGCATGTTACCAGCCAGACCAAAGCAGGGTCTGTTAGCACAGGAGACGACGGCACCATGGTCTTAACTCTGACTCAAGAGGTCCCATCATGTTGGGCCCCCGCTGCCCAGGCATGCACTCGAAATGCCTCCATTTACATAATTGTCCCCGTGACCTTGACTACCCCAGGCTTGGGTTCAGACCCCACCTCTGCCACCCGCGGCTCACGTGGACCTTAGGCGTGTTTCTTCACCCAGTCTTTCCAACCATAAAACCCATTCAACGACTACCTATTGAGCACCTACTATGTGCTAGACACTGTCTGGGTACTTGGGATACATTCATGAACAAAACTGACATCCTCGTCCTGGTGCAGACCCGTCCCAGTGCAGGGGGACAGACAGTAGATGCTACATAGAACGAATAGTGGATTCTACCACACGCTAGAAGTGAGACCTGTTGGGGGAGGGAAGAAGAGGAGCAGCTGGGGAGTTAAGCTGGGTGGTCAGGGAGGGCCTCCTGGAGGAGGTGACCCCTGAGTGAAGCCTGGACAAGGTGAGGGTGTCGGTTGTTCAGGTGTGTGGGGAAGCAAGGCGCTTGCCCGGCAGGTCCGGGGACAGCTGGAGGCCGGTGGGCTAGAGCAGAATGAGCGAGGGGGAGGGGGCCGGAGGGAGCGGGTAAGGTAGGAAACCTGCGTCCTGTGCGGACCTTGGCTTTGACACTCAGGGAGGAAGTGCAAGGTTAGGTTTCCACGGGTGGCCGCACGCTCCCCTGGTGGGAGGAGGGGTGGGAGGTGGGGAGAAGGGTCAGGAGGCAGCAGCAGGAGCCCAGGCTGGAGAGGACGTGTGTGCACGGGGAAGAGAAGACACCGGAGTGGGCGTGTTTTGAGGCTCTATCCTCCTGCTACAGAATGAGAGTAGACGTGAGATGCAGGGCTGGCTGGTCAGGTAGCTGGTTAGAGTGTGGTACTGATAGCAGCAGGGTGCACGGTTCCACCTCTGCTCCTGCTAGCTGCCCACCCCCAAAAATGTGAGATATAGATATGTCAAACATATAGCACATAGTAGGTCCTTTAAAAGATTTGAGCTGTTTCCATTTACAAACAACTTGAAATTCACCTGGAAAAATGAATCTGGTTCTTTTGGCCCTGCACGGTGGCTGAGTCCTGTGCTCTTGGAATGTGCTGTTTCCAACCGGGATCTTCTGTCTCAGTACTCCCAACACCCTGGAAACACGCAGTGACACAGGCGTTTTCTGGTCTGATTAGCAGGGGAACTGAGCAAATCCGGATTTTGGAAAGAGACAGAAAACAGGCAGGGAGGGAAGGATGTGCGTCTGGGAGGAGTGCCTGTGAGCCGTGCAGGTGACCTGGTAATGGCGGTGGGTGGAGGCCTCAGCGAGCACGCACCCATCTGGGAGTATAAATCGCCCCGTGAGAGCTTAGCGGGCTCTGGGAGCTCTAGGGAATGGTGCCCAGTGCCTGCACACTTGCTTACGGGGCGCTCCAGGCATTTATGAGCACCAGCCAAGGGCTTCCAGAACCAAATGAAAGCTCCAGACAGGTGTGTCCCGCCCGGGGCCCGGGGCACACGATGTTCTGCACAGACTGACTCTCACGGGGCGCCAGGAGTGGCAGGATCGCATGGTAGAGTCGTGAAAAGTAACGGCAGTGAAGGAGTCTCAGATGACATCTCCCCTGTATTCACAGATGGCATCCGAGGCAGAGGCTGGGCGGTGACCAGGCTGGCTATGACCAGCCAGCCCTGGAGCCAGCTGTCTCAGGCCGAGGCTCACGATCACCCCCAGAGTTCTCTGTTTTCTTTGTTTTGATGTTAATTGATCTTTCCTCCTCTCACCCACCAATATAGAAAAGTATAGGGGAGAAGGTGGGAAGCCACCCGCAGTAGTCATGGTTGAGACTTTGGTGTATGTCCTTCCAGTCGTCTCCCTTGTGCGAGTCTTTTTAGATTTTGCAGTCATGCTCTGTACATAGTTTCGTACCCTGACTTATTCGCTTCACATTACTGTGTAAGCGCTTTCCCATCATGTGCATTCTGCGACATCCATTTCAACGTCCGCCCAAATTCTTCCCCATGGGGCCGCACCGAACTTAACTGTTCCTCCACTGCTGGACGTCCCCGTCATCTGCAGCCGGATGCTGGGCCCATCAGCTTTTTATACCTCCTCTCATTTATTTCTTACAACAACTATGCAAGATTGGTATTAGTGCTAATTTACAGACAAGGACTGAGGTTCAGAGAGGTTAAGTAACTTGCCGAAAGTTGCACAGCTGGGAAGCGGCAGGAGCTAGGACTGGAGCCCTAAGGCCCAGGCGTGCATGTCCTGCGTTATGCGGTCGTGGTGCTGCAGCAGACTCATCGCCCCTGAACTTCTGTGGGTGTGCATGGATTCCCAGAAAAGAGATCTCTGGGTCAAAGGGTAGGCGCAGTCTTACGTTCATTGGCGTCAGTGTGAAATGGTGTTCCAGAAAGTGGTGCTGGTTCCCTCTCCCACCGTCCCCGCCCTCCTGTTTCCCGTAAATGAGCGCAGCGTGCGCACTCAGTCACCCGCGCCAGCTCTGCTGCCTGCTCGTTGCCGTTGCTAATTTGACATATTGCAAAATTAAACCTAATGACAAAGTATTGTCTTGAGAAGACAGTTCTAAAATGACTAGTGAATTTGGGCTTTTCATTTTCTGGGTTTGAGCTGCCTCGTGGGGAACTGAACACACTTGGGGCAGCGTCAATCTGACCAGCAGTGAGACCGCGGGAGGGCCTGCGGGGGCAGGCGGGGCTGGAAGCTGTCTGGGTCCCTCTCCTTGTGCTCCACAATGCAGGGACACGTCATTTTAATGGGTGCTAGAGCCACCACCACATTCCCCTCCTTCCAGAACGTCCAGTGCCCTCACATCTCTACAAAGAATAGAAAAATCGCCCAAGGCCAGAGCCACGAGTGCCCGTGGGCCATCTCCCCATTCAAGAGCCATTGTGTGACATGTGTCATTTACAGAAAAACCCTGGAATGCTCCTACATAAGGCCCCAAATAGCCTGTTCGTCCCAAGTCGTGATACCTTTGCTTGGTCTAAGTCGTGGTACGAGATTAAACGAAGGGCTTTCATTCTCAGACTGGGTGTTGAGCAGGGACTCAACCAGGCACTGCGGGCTTCTGGCCTGTCGGGAGGGGTGTTGACAGCACCAGCCCCGGGTCTGACAGTGGCCAGGTGCGGCTCATGGCTTCCGTCACACTATCGGCATTGCTGTTTACACATGTGACGTTGGTCCTGTGCTCCAGATGAGGACGAGGAGGCCCAGAGAGGTGAAGGAACTTACCCAGGGACACACAGCGAGTGCACAGGTGAAGCCGGTTCCAAATCCGGGCAGCTGCAGCGTCTGGGCTCTCAGTGGCTGTTCCATGCCTCGCCTTGGCCTCGCCTTGGAACAGTGGAGACAGCGGAGCCCTGGAATGAAGGATTTCCACCCGCCCTGTGGCTCTGACTGGCTCGTTACCAAGAGCTTGGCTTGGGTTCTGTGAATTGATGTTGGTGGCCACGCTCTGGCATGAGCTTTCCACAAGGCACATGCAACAGGACGGTGCAGCAGTCACACAGAAAGGTGCCCTGTGACAGTGTGCCCGAGTTACCACCGTGATGACAACTTCTAGCAGGTGTCAACTTTAAATGTATGAGTGCTACATGGTTCTTTGTTTTGTTTTTTTCTCTCTCTTTTTTAATTTAAATTTATTTTTTCTTAATTGACACACGATAATTGCACATATTCATGGGGTACAAGGTGATATTTGGGCACGTGTATACAGTGTGTGACGATCATATCAGGATAATTAGCATATCCATCTTCACAACTCTGGCTTGGGGCTGCTGAGCTGTGCCCACGTGTCAGGACCTGGGACTGACCGAGTGGGTGTGGCAGGGGCTGCACGGGCTTCCTCTGTGTCCCCAGCAGGGAGTGGCTGGGGCCAGCCAGGGTGGGCTGCAGGCTGCTGCTTCTGAGACCTTGTGTGGCTCCCAAATGCCCCTGGGATGGGAGGGGGAGCGTAGGGGAGGAAAGCGTCATGTCCTGGACCCCCGAGCTGGTGAATTGGCTGCTGTCCTGAGGGTGGGTGCTCTGATCACCACGTGGCAACATTCCCTCAGCCCCTCCACGGGGCCCTACAGCATCAGCTCCCTGCAACAGGTGTGTTTTGGAGGAGGAGACAAAAATGATGCACATTTGGGTGCCCATGGGCTATCTCCCTCCTGCAGGGGATCTGGTCCTGTCCTCATGGTGGGGGAAAGGCGTTGAGGGCTGTGAGGACGTGGGGACCCAGAGGAGTGGGGGAGAGGGTTTAGGAAGCTTGGCGTGGACTGTGGGGACCAACCACAGGGACCTTGTGTGTTCTCCCACGGGATCTTCAGCCCCAGAGCAGAGCCTGGCACATGGTACCTGCTCACTATTAACTACCTTTTAACTCCCTTCCCCATGGGTTATATCCAGTGCTGATCCAGCCCACCTAGAGGAGGGGTGGGGCTCCTGAGGCTCAGCATTTCATCCTTGAATGGGTCAAGGAGGCTCGGGGGGGCATCCCTGCAAGAGCGAGAGGTGGGTCGGCCCCTCAGGATAGCCCAGTTCTTGTCCTGGGTTAGTACCCCTTTCCAGAGACTTCCACAAGGAAAGTCCATACAACTGCAGGCTCGGGCTGGAGCTGGGGTCTGTCTCTGGAGCTTGGCCACCCAGGGTACACTGAGCCATCCTGAGTTTGTGCTGAGACTGCAAGCCTGTGTCACGTGGGGTGTGGGGCGGTCCACCTCGGGCCCATGAGGACGTGGGGACATGGAGACGGTCACCTCTGTTGCTAACACGGGCCTCGCTGGCCTCTCCTCCAGCATGCGGCTGTGACCTGGCAGAGGGCGGCTTCTTCGTGCGGCAGGGCGAGTACATCTGCACGCTGGACTACCAGCGGCTCTACGGTACCCGCTGCTTCAGCTGCGACCAGTTCATCGAGGGCGAGGTGGTGTCGGCGCTGGGCAAGACCTACCACCCCGACTGCTTCGTGTGCGCCGTCTGCAGGTGAGCGGCCCCCACACTGTCCCCTTGTCCATTCACCAGCCCCTCCCTCCTGCCTCTCGCCTTCCCAGTCAACACACCAGGCACAGAGAGGTCAAGTGACTCACCCAGGCTGCGCAGCAGGTCGGAGGCAAGCTGGCTTTGGGCATGGACGTGGAGCCCTGCTCTGTGTGTGGTCATCCCCTCGCCGCCCTGTCCCTCCATCTCGCCTTCTCCTGGGAGCCCTGCGCAGAGCCTGAAACCCCCTCTAGGCCTCCTGCAGCCCCTCTGGGCTCTGCCCTCTACCTCCCTTCTTCCTCCCGCCTCCTCCCTGCACACACAGGAGTCTGTCTCCTCTTGCTCAAGGCTCCCTGCCTTGACCATCTCTCCATCCAGAACAGCCCCCACGTCACGCCCTCCTGACGGCCATCTCCGTGGTCCTTCCCTTCTCCAGCAGGGCCTGAGGCTGCCCATGGGGCCTCCTGAGGCCCCTCCCCGGCCTCATCCTCAGCCTGTTTCTTCTCTCTCGTTGCTGCCTGCCATGTCTCCACGGCAGTCCCCCTGCTGCTCCTCGGCTGACCTGTCCCATCTGCACATCCCAGCTCTCTTCCCTGTGTCCCCAATCTGTGGGTGACCCCACCACCCAAACTGACAGCTCCATGAGCCCCCGTCGTGGGGTCTCCCAAGGCCCTGTCTTCCTCCTCATGCAGACTCTGTCCCCAAATCTGCCCAGCCCCTGCCTCACTCAGGCCTGGAAACTCACCTGCCTGGGCTCCTGCCACAACCTCCACGCGGGGCCCTCTGCCTGCCCCCCGCCCCCCACGCTGGGATCCCACGGCCCCCAGGAGAAAGTCCAGGCTTCTTAGTCTGGCCAAGAAGAGCTTCACAGTCTGTTCCTGTTCATTCATTTGTTCATTCATTCATTCATTTATTCAACCAGCCTTCACTGAGTGCCTACATGTGCCAGGTGACTCAAAGGTGCTTTATCCCGGGCCCTGCGGGGCTCAGGGTCTTGGTTTGCTACAGTGCAGCAGGAGGCTGTTCCCCCAGAGCCTTTTCTACCCTGGGGCAGCATCCCTCCCTCTCTCCTCGGCCCCCACTGCATCCCGTACCGAGGTTCTCCTGGGCCCCCCGGTCTGTGCCCTTCTCTAGCACGGTACCCCTGTAGCTCCCTGAAGGCAAGTGTGAGTCAGATGCTTGCTGCAGAGGCTGGATCCTAGCCAGACAGCAGGGCCACCCCCAGTTCTCTGCTTGCACCCCCTGGGGGGCTGCACAGGAGGCCGGCAGGCAGTCCCCCTGTGGGTTCCTCCGTCCCTCACTCTGTAGCCCCGACCCATTCCTTCCAGGGGAAAAGTTCCATCTCTAGAAAACAAGGCATAGAAAAATATAAACAGAGTGTGTTTTCCTCCCCGTTCCCCCGTCTCACCACACCCTGTTTACAGGGGACTTTTTCAGTGTTGTTCCCAAAGCAATTCTCCGTGGTTACAGCATGTGCTGAGACGAATGGAACCTTTTGTCGGAGGATGCCGAGGAGAGGAAGTGACAGGCCAGGGAACATTTCCTCTGACGGTCACTGTTTGTTACTGCAGCATGGCTTGGGTCACATCCCCCCGGGGCTCATCTGAATGTTTGGTTTCTGTGTACGTAGCTTAGAGGGGCAGGTGGACATCATCACAGTTGGTTTGAGAGATCACCTCCAGTTGATCCACGGTTTTAAAAATAACGGCTGACAGCCCTGATCACGTTGGAGTAACTGGGATTGGACTTTTCCACCCACCGTAAACAACTAGAAAACAGGACAAAATAACCTGAGCAGCTGCTTTGAGACATTAGGACACAGGCAGCAGAGGACTGAGAGAGGGAGGAACTTAAGTGAGCTCTGGGTTCGCCCTGGTGTTCTGCCTGGACGCAATGTCTTGAAGGACGGCACAGGGCAGCGGGACCCAAGAAGAGTGTGTCCCTCTCCTGAGTTAGGACACAGTGGCTGGAAAGGCAGAGGTGGCTGGGATGTGTGTGGCAGAGCACCACAGGGGGAGAGCAGGACGCCAGAGACCTACACAGGTGCCTTTCTGTCTTGGACTAAACGCAGAGGAAATCTCACCAGGTGGGGTAAAGAGTGTCGAGGCTACTGGAAGCTGGACAGTCCCCACGTTTGGGAAACACTTGAGTTCTGACAAGAGTGGAACCCCCAGGGCATAGAGGAGAAACACCAAAAATTGTCCTTATTAAAATAGCCCTAGAGTGAAGAATACAATAAACCTGCTTTAACAAATACAAGAACAAGACTTTGTGCTGATCTGCAAATAAACCATCTGCCTGCCAGAGCAAAGTCCAACACTTTCACGGGAAAATAAGAAAATCCAACACTCGGCAATGTAAAGTTTACAATGTCCAACATCCAATCAAAAATTACTAGTCATAAAGAGAACCTGGAAAAGGTGACCCAGAGTCAGAAGAAACATCATTTAATAGCAATAGACCCAGATATTACAGCAATGGACAATGACTTTAAAATAGCTCTTGTAAATATGTTTAAGTATTTAAAGGAAAACATATACATTGGAGAGTTAAAGAAGATATTAAAAGAAACCAGTGGAGCTTCTAGAAATGAAAAGTACAATTACTGAAATGAAAAATTCCCTGGAAAGAATGAGCAGTAGACTAGGTATTGCAGAAGAAAAGATCAATAAACTTGAAGGCACAGCACTAGAAATCGTTCAAACTGAAGCAAAGAGAGAAAAAAGACTGAAAACGTGAAAGAGCCCCATGATACATCTGTCTATCTACCTATCTATGTGTGTGGGGGAGACCAAAAAACATTTGAGGAAACAATGGCTGAAAATTTTTCAAATTTGATGAAAATTAGTAGCTTCTAGATCCAAAAATCTCAATGAAGCCCAAGCAGAATAAACACAAGAATCTATCAAATGCATCATAATCAAATTGCCAAAAACCAGTGCTAAGAAGACATATTAAAAGCAGAAAGAGAAAAAAAAATACACATTATCTGCAGATTAACGAAAGACTACAGATTTTGAGAAACTGCAAACAGTACAGCAACATCTTTAAAGTGCTGAAAGAAAAAAATCTATCAAATAATTCTGTACCAAGCAAAAAAAAAAAAAAATCTTTCAACAATGAGGGCAGGACTGATAACAGGTGTGGGGTTTCCATTGCAGGTGATTAAAATGTTTCAATATTGATCGTGGTGATCGTTGCATAACTCTGAATGCACCACAGCCCATCGAATTGTGCATTATACGTCATGCGAGTAACATACATGTCAATGGGCTGTTACAAAAAAATGAAGACAAAATAAAAACTTTGTAAACACAAAAGCTAAGAGAATTTGTTGCCAGTAGACCTGAGCCGCAATAAAGTTACAAAGGTTTTGTGGCTGAAGGAAATGAAAAATGAAAAGTGAGAAGCAGGCCGTCTGCGGGGAGGGTGCTCAGCGCATCCGACGGAGGACTGGGACGCGGCGCGGGTGAAGCAGCTTTGCAGCTCAGTGAGGAGACCGAGAGCTGTTAAAAATGAGCAGAAGAGTTTAACAGACACTTCCCAAAAGAATATGAATGAGCAATAAACACGTGAAACCATGTTTGACATCATCCGTCGCCATGGGAACGCAGATTAAAACTGCGCTGAGATGCCCGTTAGGCAGCCACTGGAATGACTGGATGGTGAGCGCTGGGGGGGACACGCCAAAGAGCTCTCATGCATTTCTGTTCTGGTAGGGATGCAAAACGGTACAGCCTCTTTGGAAACCAGTTTGGCAGTTTTTTCTAAAGTTAAATACTGAACACTCAGCACATGACCAGAAACTCCTCAGATGTTTACCGAGAAGAAAGGAAACCTATGTCCGCAGAAAGACTTGCCTGCAAACGCTCCTAACCACCTGCTCTGTAGCAGCCCCAAACCCAAAACCACGCAGATGCCCTCAGCCACTGAGGGGACTACCTGTTGTGGTTTGTCCACTCAAGGGACCCTGCTTAGCCCCAGGAAGGAAGGTGCTGTTGCTACACGCAGTGGGGTGGGCGAATCTCAAAAGCGTGATGCTGAACGAAACACCAAAGGCTACGTGCCACCTGATCCCACGCGTGTGCAGGGCCAGCAAGGTGGTCCAGTCCACAGTGACACAACACCCATCACGGTTGCCCAGGGCCGGGGGCGGTGGTGTGGGGCGGTCGTAGATGGTCCTGGGGGACTTTTTGCAATGAACAAAATGTTCCATATCGTGATGGTGGTGGTGGTTACATGGGTGTGTACATTGGTTAAAAGGTACCTCAGTTCAGTTGAATAAATACCATAATAGCTGCCATTTATTCAGCGCTCCTGGGTCCAGGCAGAAGGCTGGAGTTTTCCATGCAATATGTCCGATGGATGAAAGCGTGAATGAATGAGTAACAACCCTGTGTCGTGGTTGTTGTTAGTCCATTATAGGTGAGAAAAAGGAGTTCAGAGAGGCTGAGTAACTTGTTCTGGGTTGCACAGCCAGAGATTGGCTCAGAGCACATCCAGGGACGGTGAGGGCTCCCTCACTCTGTTCCAAGATCCCCCATTACCAGGGAGGTTTAATGACACTAAGATGGGGGGCCGAGGGCAGACCACAGCACTAACACAGGTGACAGAGCACAGGCATCCGACAGCTGCGGAGGCTCCAGCTCAGCTGTGGGAGTGAGAGGGCTGCGGGACCTGGGCCCAGCCCAGCCTGTGTTTGTCCTTGGTCCCCAGGAGCAAAGAATGGCTGGATGGGGCCCAAGAACAAACCTCCTGAACGACCCAAGGGCCCTGAATGCCAGCCCAACAAAGTGGGGAGCTATGGATGGCTTTATCGGAGGAGGGCACACCAAGCTCCTGCTAAAGAAAGCTCCATCTGGTCGCCGAGTGGGGTCAGGCTGGAGCTGCTGGGACCGTGGCAGGCCCGTGGGGAGGCCGGGCGGCAACCCCGCAGGAGAGGGCAGCCCGAGCTCAGCCTCCTGGGGAGCCGGAGTCCTTCTCTTGTTCGTTCGTTCGTTCGTTCATTCATTCATTCATTCATTCAAGAATGAATTCATTATCTCTTGAGTGCTTGGGTTGTGCCAAGCGTTGCCCAGCCCTGAAGAAGACAGAGGGAAACCAGTGAAGATGTTTAAGCCGGGGGCTTAAAGGGGCACATCCTGGTCTGATTATCCTTCAGGCTTCTGCCCAAAGGGCACCAGGTTCTCTGAGCTGGCAAAGGACAGCAGCCCAGTGGCAGCAGGTGTCCAGGATGGACGTAGGTGGTGTTCTCAGGTGGTGCTTCCGGCCCATGATGCAGGTGGCCTGGCCTTAGCTTGCCACATAGCAGCTACCTGAGCCATCTGTCAGTCTCCACGGAGAAGTCCTTGGGGCTGCAGGGGTGGGGGGGCTCTCTGCTGCCCCTGCCCAGCCTTGCTCTGGGCACTCACTTAGATGCAGAATTTAAGGGGGTGCCAAAAACTCAGCAATGAAGGTAAATGGTATTTTAATGCAATATTTTTTAAATTGATATAAATGCAAAAGATCCATTTTGAAAAAAATGCCAGAATTTTAAATAAAGACAGGATCGGATTGTACAGCTCCTTGGCATCTACAAGTATGCTTTTAATGACACTGCCTTCTTAGAGGCCCAGGTAGGTAAATCGTGGAACTTTGGAGACCCACAGGTCTTGGTTTGACTCTGGGCTGACGTGTATCAGCTGTGTGTCCTTAGGAAACTTAACTATCCTCTCTGAACTTCAGTTTTCTCACCTACCAAGGGAAAGAATGAAGCAAATACCATTCCAAAGTTATTAAAGGAGGCATGCATGTAAGGTGTCTGTCACAGCACCTGGTACATAGTAGAGGTTCAGTCAAGGTAGCTGCTGCCGTTGTCATTGGGCTGATGTGGACAAAGTGTCCTGGGTGGTCGGAGGAGGAGGGTCTACTGGAAGAGGCCAGCGGTCAAGGCAGCCTGGCTGAGGGCCACGTGCTGAGCAGTGGGCTGGCCGGCAGCTGGTCCTCACCACAGCCTTACACACCGTGACTCTGCCTGTTGTACAGATGAGGAAACCAAGGCTCAGAGGTCAGTGGCTACCTGAGATTGATACTGGGGGACATTCAGCTCCTGGCTGAGGCTCCCCAAAAATCTTGTGACCAAACCCAGATCTGGCTGCCTGCCCCCAAACTGAAACGAACCACTCAAAAGTCAAATGTTGGTTAAAACGGAAGTCAGCTTTTATTCAGGAACACTGGTGACCTGAGGAGAGATGCTGGGCTGACCCATCTCCCCATGGTCAACCTGAAGGAGGATGCCAGGCTGAAGCATCTCAAAGACTCAGGCTCACTGAGGGGTTTTAAAGAGGGGGCTGAGGGAATGGAACGTGGGGATGAAGAGCAGGACAGAGGGCACATGAGCCGCGGGGGCTCGTGCAAGGAGCCGGGTGCGAGGTCTCGCCAAGGCTCCGTCTGGTTTCTGCTCCGTCCCCGCTCTCATCTCAGGGTCCTGCTGGAGGGTGCAGTCAACACGGCTTTACTGATGTCCTCCTTGGTTTCCCAGGGTCTGGGTAGTATTTGTCTCCTGGCAAGTCCGCAGCTCTAGGCTGGCTGGAAAACAACTTTATGTTTATGTAAATAATGCCATCCTGCCTCATAACCAAGTTCAAAATATCAAATAACCATGGGGGGGAAAGAGGGAACTCAGAAATGCATGCCAAGGAAACAACTGTGTCCTTTTAAACTATTTTAGAGCCCATGCAGTTTTAGGTCCCAGCATGGCTTCAGTCCCACTCACTCCAACAAAATCCCATAGCAGTGGCTTGGGACAGCAGTGGCCTGGATGGAGAGGCCCTGTGTCCTCAGCCTGCAGCTCCCATCTCCAAAGGCCCCAGGGTAGGGTGGGAGGGGGAGGCAGTGGCCTTGGCATTGTGCTCTTGGGTGGGGCTACCCCGAGAGAAGGGCCGGAAAGTGGGCCTGGCTGGTAATGAGCTCTCTTGTTTCAGGCTGCCCTTTCCCCCTGGGGACCGAGTGACCTTCAACGGGAAGGAGTGCGTGTGCCAGAAGTGCTCTCTGCCCACGTCGGTGGGCAACAGCGTGCACCTGTCCCAGGGTCTCCGGAGTAAGTGGGCGCTGAGTGGCACGGCATGGTGGGGTGGCCTCTGTAGTGCCAGTCCCCAAGGATGGGGACCTAACAAACTGGGAGCCGAAGCAGAAGCAGACACAGTGAATAGCTGTGGATAACATAGGAAGGGAACCAGGAACAGAAGTCTCTGGGCTCTCATGCCGCAAGCCTTCGCACAGCTGGGCCCTCCACCGCGTGCCCTCCTGATGTTGCCCAGCTCTACCACACCTCCGGGAAGGCTTCCTGGCCATCTTCTGGTCCTGTCCCTCTGCCATTTGCACTCAGCTCCCCCAGTTAATTCCAGCTGCCTTTGGCCTTTCGGGGAGCCCTCAGAAGCACGCTGAACTTTGGGCTCCGGTGGTCAGGGGCGTCCCAGCGCACTGTTCCACCTCCCAGAGCTAGGCCGGGTGTGCATGCAGTGGGTGCTCAATACATGCTCCTTGAGTGAGGAAGCAGGGGATTGTGACCGCAAAAGAACAGATGCCAGCCAGAGTGCCGCAGGTTTGTGGATATAGGTCAGAGTAATAGAGCAGGTGGCCTTTCCCAGCCTGGGCAGCTCTTCTGGGGTGAGAGGTGGGATGCGGGGACTTCAGGGGAGTCCAGCACACCAGGATCTACGGCTGCCAGGTGCCCAGACAGAGCCCACCCCAACTTCCAGGGTTGCTGTGGTGTCCCAGAGGCAGGGCCGCAGTCCTGGGACAGAGGGGTTTCTACTGATTTCCAGAGCCTTCTCTCTCCCCCACCTTGCCTGCTGTGTTTGAAGTCTCTGCAGAGGTGATTCTACCTTCATCCTCCCCAGAGTCCAGTGTTGGCTTTGGGGCCAGTAATGACTTTATTATCTGTGATAATAATAACATTAACACAGATAATAACTACTATCTGTGGAATGAAGCGAAGCCTTTGTCCTCTGGGAAGCAAGCTCACAGTAACACTGGGTGGCCAGGTCATTGCTCCGGGAGAGTCCATCCAAAAATTTCTCTCCAGTTGAGGCCTGGATAGATCGAATTTTTGAGAATTTGCTCCACAAACAGTAGTACTATTATCATTAAATCCAAAATAGTAATTAAAAGCTCTACAGTAAAATTTAAAAAGAGGAGGAGGATTAGTTTTGAGCAGTTCATCCAGAGCTTCCTGGCAGCCAAAGTAAAAAGGGACATATGCTTGATTACAGAATCATTGTCTAAGATTTTAAAAAATATTCTTAGCAGACAGTCTCTGCCCTTTCCAAATGTAAATTTATTTTAAAATATCAAATGTACATTTTCAAAGAACAAACACTCCCCAACTCCTAGAAGGTCTAATAATATAGCCTGCCCTTTCTCCCAGGCTACCACGAGAATCCTGAGCTTAGAATCTTTCCTGTGCCTAGAAAACGTCACACATTGATTACCAGCTCTTGGCTCCTGTGCAGAGTCATTCTGTCTCCTGCCTCCTTTTCTCCCCAGAGCATCCCTGCCAGGAGGAGTTCTTCTCTCCTACAGGTGCAGACGTGCCCTGAGCTGTGGGGGCTGGGAGTGGGGGTGTGCTGGGTGCCTAGTGTCCACTGAGGGAGTGGTAGAGCTGAGGTTTGGCACAAGGCCTACAAACTTCAAAGCAGGTGAGTTTGCCCTGCTGTGACCAGAGGCCCTGCAAGGAGGTGGCCTTTGTTCTGAAACTTGAGACACAGGTTGAATTTCAGTTTGAGGGAATTGAAGGGTGGGGGGCTACAGATGAGAACAGGCTACAAAGACCATAAACATGTGGAATGTGCTGGGGGCACCCACCAGACCTGTGTGAGCAGACAAGGGTCTTGATGTGGGGGGGCAGGGGAGGGGAATGATACTAGAAAGATGAAACCAGATGGTGGACTTCCTCCAGAGCCATGTCAGTGCATCCTGGAGGCCGTGAGGAGCCATAGATGGTTATTGATTAGGGGAGTGCCAAGGTCAGTCCTGAATGCTTAGAAGAAGAGGCCGAGCACTGTGGTCTGCCTGGCTAGGTTGCTGGGACCCAGGGAGGGGATGCAGCACTTCTGCAAGGATGGCAAGCCTCAGATGGCTGCCTTTGTGGGCTGTCTTTCCATGGGGGACGTGGAGAGTGGGTGGCTATTTAGGTAGGTGTCTGTCAAGCGTGAGTCCTGTGGCCCTGAGCCTGTTGCTTGGTAACAGGAGAAATGCTTCAGGCTGGGCAGCCCAGGCCTTCCTCCTGGGAGCAGCACACCATGCCTTCCACGAGTCTAGCACCCCCTGCATGCCTGAGCCATCCCACTGCAACCTATGGAGGGCCTCTTCTGTCCCGGAACCTCTGCTCCTCCCCCGGAGGGCCCCTCTGCTCCCATCCAGGCTCCTCCAGCACTGAACCTTTTGCTGGTCACAAGGCGGTCCCCCAAGAGGCCAAGCATCTGCCGACCAGGGACAGCTCTGAGCCCGCTGCTCACTTCTGTGTGCCCAGGGCAAGATACGTCCCCTCTTTGGGCCTTAGGTATAGGCATGAGGTCAGCTGGGAGTGTGGGCAGTGGTCCAGAGGGGCAGCCTGGGGGTGGGGCAGGCAGGAGGTGGGAAAGATATGGGGCTTGGACTGGAGACAGGGATGGAAAGCTGCTCCGTCTATGCTGAGAAACCCCTGTGGCCAGTTTTGGGGCTTGGCCGCCCCTGGCTCTACAGCTCACCCATTGGGGCCCAGCCAGGCCAGGCGTGGAGAGTGTTATTGCTAGAGCTGGGACCTGGGGAGGCCCCACCAGAGTCAGGAATGAAGGGGCAGGAAGAGGTGTGTGCAGAGCTGGGGGCCAGGCCTGAGGATGGGGCTGGGGGATGGAGCCAGGCCTGAGGATGGAGCCTCTGGAGATGGCTCTTTGCCACCTGGGCTGGGGTACTGGGAGCCCTTGTGTCCTCTGCTGGTGTGAGGCTGCAGGGCCTGGTGTGCTAGGAGGACAGGTGGCAGGGACCCAGAGCCCCAGCCCCTTGCTGGCTGAGAGGCCTGGGGAACAAGGCGAGCCCCTCCTGTGACAAGGCTGTGAATGAGGAGACGGCCCCCAGGAGCCAAAGCCCCCTCCTCACTGCCTCCCCGGCCCCGCACACATCCTGTGGCCGTCACGGGTGGGCCACCGTCTAGTGAGGACCCTTAGCGTGTCGGATCTGAACTTGAACGTGTATCCTCTTTTCCAGGGACTGTCCTCTGCTCTTCTCATCAGTATGGGCACCTAAGTGAACTCGCAGCCCAAGTTCATACATTTTCAGTCACTTTGAAGTTTTAGAACCATCAGAGTCCTTGTTTCTGAAGGTCAATGTCGGATTCAGTTCAGAATCTGAGACTTTCCTCCGCTCCCCTGACCTGGTTAGGCCTGGGATGCTGCAATGGAGAGGGCAGGTCTGACCCCAGACCCCTGCTCTCCGGTTCCCGGCTGAGGCTCAGGGAGGCTGTCAGCATGTCCCGGTCCCATGGAGAGTTTGCGGCAGAGCCTGGGCCTGACCACTGTGACCACATCTCCTGGAAAGGGGAGCATTTTGGGGGAAACAGGAAATTGGATGGTTCTAGAAGGTCATGCTGGGGAGGAGGCCCAGGCCCATCCATTGCTGTTGATGGCAGAGCCAGGCCCAGGGTGCACAGTGAATGGACAGTAGCTTTGGGGACACACGAGGCCCCTCCCACTCTGCTAAGGAGGTCCTGCTGCCAGCAGCTCCGGTCTGCAGCGTTCACCACACAGGATTCTGTACCGTCGTTTGCAAAGCCTCACAAAGCTGTGCTGAGCCCCAGATGCATCTAGAAAAGGATGATTGCAGTTTCCATGACAACGTTCCTCTTGCACCTTGCTCTTGTCTCTGCATTTAGTGATGCTCGCTCCTGAACTGACAGGAAGCGGGACGGGTCCCAGTCTCTCCTGCAGCTGCCGCCTGGCCATCGCAGGGCAGATGACACACGCATCCACCCAGAGCCTCAGGAAACTGAGATTCAGCCTCCCCGGGGGGGAGACCCAGGGCAGGGAGGGGGCGCGCAGCTGGCACTTGTATGAAGGGAGGCAGAGTGGCAGAGACACCTGCGGACAGCTGTCCACGGGGCATCGGGCCTCTCCTCTGGTCACCATCTCGTGATACCAGCAGGAATGATTCGAACAGAGCTGGACCCGCTGTGTAGACATCCCCGGTGTGTGCACTGATTATCTATCAAACCCGCCCTCTGCTCTGGGGACCCACACCCACATTAGCTCTCTAGGAGGCGGGTACTATTATTATCCCTACAGAATGTGTCCCCATTTCAGTGTGGCACAGAGAGGTGAAGTGACTTGCCCACGGTCACACGGCTGGTGGGGACAGGGCTGGGATTTGCACCCGGGCAGCTCGGCTGCGGGTTCCACGCTGTTGATCACTGCTCTGTGCTGCCTGTCCTCATCACCGCAGCCATGCGGCCTGCTCCCTCGGTTTGCCCATTTTCAAAGAAGCCGGCAAAGGTTCAGAGCAGGGTCCTCAGCTTCAGCACTGTGCGCACCAGGGCCAAGTGTCTCCTTGTCGTGGGGGCCGTTCTGTGCACTGTAGGATGTGTGGTACCCACGTCCTCTACCCAGAGGTTAGAGGGGTGGCCCCCTCCCATTAGATGCCTAGAGGATCACCCCCCCCAGTTGTGACAATCGAAAGAGTCTCTAGACATTGCCAAATGTCCCCTGGGGGGCAAAAGTGCCCCTGGTTGAAAGCCACTGATGAAGAGCCTTCAGAATGCGCCCACGGTCACCCACCGAGGGAGAGCCTAGAGGAAAGCCGGGCTGGCACGCTGGCTCATCTCTGCTCTGCGGGGAGCGGGAGGGTGGGAGGGGGCACTCTCTCGCCCTGGTCCCCACAAACTCACTCATTCCTTCCTGTGCTCAGCCTGTGCCGGACACCCAGGGTCCTGAGACCCAGCGTCCTCTTCCCTCAGGACCCCTGTGTCCCAGAGTCTGCGTCTGTTCTTTGGTCATTTTCCATGGTTGCACATGAGTCTGAACAGTGTGATAACTTGGCCAACCGTTTGGTGGGCATTCATTTTTCTTTTTATTCTTAAAAATAATATGACTCTGGTCTCTGCCAAAGCAGATAATAATGCTGGGCATCAAACAGCATCTGCTGAGCGCCTGCTGCATGCTGGACCAGGCATGGTCTTAGAACTGCCATCGAGTCAGGGCAGTGGGTAAGCACTGATGGGACTGCCCACCCACCAATGAATAAAGGGGTTTCCAAGAGGAAGGAGACTGGCTTGGCATGGGCCAACGAGTGTGGATGCCAGCATTTGTGCCCAGGCCTGCTGGGCCCTGGGGCGACATTCTCTCCCGCTTGGGTGGAGGTTGACTTGTGCCAAAGCAGACCCTGCTCAGCCTGCAAGCTCTGGCTGATCCGGAAGCTGCTCAGCTACTCAGGGCTCCTGCAGGCAGCTGGGGCCCACTTCCAGATGCATCTCCTGGTTTCTGCTCATCACAAGGAACCCCAAGGCCCACCCTTGTCACGCCTCACTGTACACACACCCAGCCACACCCTCACACACACAGACTGCTTGCACACAGACACACACTCATGTGCACACAGAGACACAATCACAGACACAGATGTGCACACAGAGACACATCCATACTCACACACTGCCACGCACAGTGCAGGTTCCTGCTGCCAGCTCCCGGTCCTGCTCCACCCCTTGGCCGGGGCTCCCACTCGTCTTCAGCACACAGGTCACTGGCTGTGGGAACCCCCATGTGGCCAGTCACAGGGGAGAAGGACCAGACTGTGAGCGGCTGGCTCAGCAGGGCAGGGACAGGACAGAGGGGCGTGGGCTAGAGAGCACCCGTCACCAGAGGAAGGTAGAAGACAGAGGTAGGGATTAGCTAGTTCCTGCTGCCAGCTCCCGGTCCTGCTCCACCCCTTGGCCGGGGCTCCCACTCGTCTTCAGCACAAAGGTCACTGGCTGTGGGAACCCCCATGTGGCCAGTCACAGGGGAGAAGGACCAGACTGTGAGCGGCTGGCTCAGCAGGGCAGGGACAGGACAGAGGGGCGTGGGCTAGAGAGCACCCGTCACCAGAGGAAGGTAGAAGACAGAGGTAGGGATTAGCTAGCTGGTCAGGTTGCAGGTTGCAGAGGGGGGAATTCCCAAAGCCGACTGCCTGGGGCCTGGCTCTGGCCTGGGCTGAGTCCTGGAGCAGGAACACAGTGGGGTGGAGCACTCTGTGTGCAGGGACATGGCTCAGATGGCCACAGAAGGAGCTCAAGATGTCTGGGCCAGGAGAGCTTCCTGGGAGAGGCATCCAGGCAGGAGAGAGTCTGGAGCAAGGAGTACGGGGTGTGATAGAGTGCAGGGGGGCTGGGGCGCAGGCCTCTCCAGTGTGGTCTTTACCTCTCTGTGTCCCACTAAAAGGGGGACACATTTTGTGGGAACAATAACAGTAGCAGCCTCCTAGAGAGCTAACACAGGTCCGGGTCCCTGCAGCAGAGGGTGGTTCGATGGATGAATCAGTGCGTGTGTGGGGACGTCTACTCAGTAGGTCCAGCTCTGCTCTGACTATTGCTGCTGGTGTCAGGAGATAGTAACCTCGCTTCTCGCGGTTCCCTGTGGGAAGCCATCCACAGACATCACTGTCACTCTGCCTCTCCCTGTATCAGCTACGTGCCCCCTCCCTGCCCTGCCCTGGCTCTCCCCGCAGGGAGGCTGTATCTCAGTTTCCTAGAGGCCCTGGGTGAATGCACATCTTGTCTGCCCTGCACTGGCCAAGCTGCAGTTGCAGGAGAGACGTGGACCTCACACCTGTCCCCCACCTCGTCCCCAGCAACTTGGGGTAGGAGCATCACTAAAAGCGATGTGGTACATTTCCCTTTGGTGTACACGTTGGGTCATGATCAGGTTTAAAGTTCCGCCTTCCAACAGAGGACGGGTGGCGCCACCCAGACCCAGTGTTGTCAGACCACCGGCTACCCTGACCCCTCCTCCCTGGGCCAGCCCCCTCCCCAGTGTGCTCTTGTCTGAGTGCATACCTCTGCACCAGGCAGTCTCCGATCTTCTCACAGTGCATCTTGGTTCTCCCAGCTCCTAGCCCAGACTGCACACAGTTGGTGCTCAATGCATGCAGGAACACACCTCATGATTTGTTTCCCTCATGTTCCCACTGGCTGCCATGGAGCGGGCCCTTCCAGCACACCAGTTTGGTTGTCCCCTGTCCCTCTCTTCTGGGGCAGCTTCAGTTGCTTTATGGGGTCTGGAGAGCAGTAGGGCAGGGACAGCCTCAAGAGGGGCCTCATCCCTCCAGGTCACCCTTGGTGGTGCTGCTGAGACCCCATGGGGCAGGCCTGCTGCACACTTCTCCACCCAGGATGAGGATGTCTGTGTTCTGTTCTCTTTCTTCCAGGTTGTGGGGGCTGCGGCACAGAAATAAAAAACGGCCAGGCCCTGGTGGCTTTGGACAAGCACTGGCATTTGGGCTGTTTTAAGTGCAAGACTTGTGGGAAGCTCCTAAATGCCGAGTACATCAGCAAGTAAGTGGGGACAGGGGCTCTTGCCTCCTTATTCTGGGCGGGGGTGGGTCGGGGGCAGTGCTCCCTGTGCTCCCCGTGCACCGCCCTCTGCACTTCTGCCCCTCCTCCTGCAGCTACCCTTGTCCTGCTGTTAGGTGAGGAAACGCGGCCCAGAGCCTGGCGGTTTGCCCAGGCCCTTGTACCTTCCCTCTCCTGAACAGTCCCTGCTCCCTCAATGGGGTGTGTGGGGAGACTCCAGCTCTGTTTCTGCTGATTAGAAACAGAGATGTTGGCGCTGCCATCTCTGACTCTGTCAGCCACCTCCTCTCTCCCGTCTCTGGGCATCAGCCTCCACCTTCCCTGTGGGGTTTGCCGTCATTTCTGCACCTGGATGTCCTGCACAGTGCAAAGCAACCTCAGCAGGTGCCAGCCATGGGGTCAGGAAAGGAGGGCCCGCCCATCTCAGCTGTCAGGTCTGGGACCCCACACCACATGCTCCATCTTCTGCAGAGTGAGAGCTCTTGGGTCAGCTCCCGCTGGCTGGCTCTGTGCCCCCCAAACCTGCAGTCAAGCTGGGGTGGTGGCTGGTTTGGGCACATGGGGGGAAGACCCTGGCTGTGAGCAGGGGCAGCTGAGGGGCCAGGAGGCGGGGTGCATTTTAATCCTGGCAGAGCAGAGAAGGAGGCAGGGAAGCCCTGGATGGCGCAGGTGGGGCCGAGCCAGTGGGTGCTGAACAGAGCAGCCCTGAGTGCACACAGGCACCTTCCTGGGAGGCAGAGGCTCTCAGGCCGCTGTCATCAAAGACTGTGCTAGTTCTTCATGCCCTGGAGGGAAGAGAATCATTGCAGGAACTGACGAATCTGCATGGGATGCAGAATGAAGCACACACGCACATGCGCACACACACGCACTCATACATGCATGCATGCACATGCGCACACACATGCATGCACTCACACGTGCACACACGCATGCACTCATACATGCACACGTATGCACTCATGCATGCATGCATGCACATGCACGCAGTCATACATGCACGCATGCACATGCACTCACACACACACACACGCATGCACTCACACACATGGACCATGTACGTAGCACAGAGTCTGACAAGGCCAATGCATGAACCCACATCAGCTTCCTAGTTGATCCCTGTGCTCTCACTCTGCAAGATGTCACCACTGGGAGAAACTAGGAGAAGCATAAACGGCACGTCTCTGGATTGTTTCTTAAACTGTATGGGAATCTACAATGATCTCAAAACAGATTGTTGTAAGTAAAAGTCCCCAAACCAGGATGAGCTTTCATCCAAGGTGGACAGGACTGCGGAGGAGGCAGGGGTTCCCTGGCCTCTGTCATAGTAAAGGAAGTGAGTGACTTGGGGACACAGGCCAGTGCACAGAACATTTTAAAACACATGAAACCTCCCAGCCCCCAGCAGGCACAGCCCCTCACGTGACACTGGCAGCTCACCCACGCCCACACAGCCCCCGGAGCCATCCCAGAATTCACGAAGAGGGTGTGTTGGTGTTGCCATGGAGACAATGAACCTTCTGGGTTTGCTGCAAATACTCCCATTTGTGGGGTACAGTGGGGGCCCTAGGTCAGCGCACTTGAAAGTGGGTCCCAGGGACCCAATTTCCATCTTCTCCCTCATGTAGAGGAAGGGCTGTCCCCTGTCTGAGAGAAGGCTCATCCCAGGGCTGTGGGCCAGCTCAGGCTGCAGTGAGAGGGGCCATGCAGCCCCAGTGCTGTGAGCCCACGCCAGGGCCCTTCCCCTCCTGCAGGCATCTGCAGGCCCTGGCGAAGCTCCAGAGATCTGAGGAAGAGAGGCCGGTGTTAGCTCAGCTCTGATCCTTGACTGCTTGAGAAATCCCAGCTTCCATCACTGCTGTGCAAAAAATTAAAAAGTCACTAACACGGTGACTTGACATGCTCGAGAGGAGAGATATGGAGTGCAGGTACCAGCTCTGTGCCAGTGGCCTCCACACCAAACTCCTTCTGGGTATGGCCTGGGCCCAGAGGACAGCCCTGGTTAGCAATAACAGTGGCCTCAGCCACCATTTGGCAGGTGCCAGGTGCTGGACACACCTGTCATTTAACCCTTACTGTTGATCTCCTGTTTTACACATGGGAAGCTGAGGCTCAGGGAGGTTAAGTGACTTATCCGGGGTCACACAGCTGAGACCTGGCATTTGAGTCCAAGCCTGTTCACTTAACCACGGCCCAGCAGCCCCTCCCCTCCCCACACTGAGTTCGGCCGCCAGACACCTCAGGGCCACCTCTGAGCCTTCTTTCCCCCATCTGCACTCCGTTTATCCTGTTGTAGTGATTGCATGACAATGATTATAACAGATTTTAAATCAGCTCCAGGCCCTACATGTCCCTGTGCACACTAGCTGCTGTCCCTACAGCTCATTTAATGGAGGTACAGAGTTTAAGCAACTTGCTCAAGGAGTGTCTCATTCGACACTCATTCCCCGATGCTGCAAATGGTTCCTCGCATGCAGAAGCATGCCATCGGCATGCGTGACAGAGTGGACATGTCACTGTGAGGCCCTTCTGCTCCTTCCACACAACAGGAGGCCGGGCCCCTCCACACATGGCCAGAGCCAGCCTCTGTCCCCGTGAGACGGAAGTACCCAGTGAGTGGCGTCTCCTCCTAACCCTCCCACACCTGCCACCTGGGCTCCCAGTCATCCCCCAGCCCTGTCCCCAAAGCAGGTGCCCTTGTCATGCAACCCTTTTGGCTCATGTTTTTCTAAGGCACTCCTGACGCTGGACATGGGGTGGAAGGAATCTCTCATTTCCCAGGTGTGGCTTTTGCTCCCTTGGCTCAGCCTCTGGACCAGCCACCAGCTCCTCAGAGGGCCAGCGGCCCCGCCTCTGTGTACTCAGTGTCCCCATCTGTGAAACGGGGTGGTCTGCATCATATTTCCATGGGGCCGGTGCATGTAAGCACCCAATACACGCTCCCTATCGGAGGTGTCATCAGAGGAGGAGGAAGTGGGCATTTCCCCCACTGGGACAGTGTCCTTCTCATTGGTGAGGGCTGTGGGATCTTGGGGTCAAGCTCCTGGTGGTCCTTAGGGTGGCCCTGCCCCAACCTGAATGCCTTTCTCGTTGCAGGGACGGGCTGCCCTACTGCGAGGCTGACTACCACACCAAGTTCGGCATCCGCTGCGACGGCTGTGAGAAGTACATCACGGGGCGTGTGCTGGAGGTGAGTGGCCAGCTGGAGTGGGGGATGCTGGTTGAGCCCGGCTGGGCCCCTGTGACCCTCGCATGGCCCTGCCCTCTCTGGGCGCTGGGGCCTAATTGCCCCCTGCGAGGGCAATGGTCTGACATTCGTGTGTGTTTGTGCAAGAATCTGTCCACCCGAGCCTTCACCACCCGCTTCCTCCCAGCTCTGCCACAGGATACCATCCTTGGCCATCTGGGGCCTGCTCAGTGCCACCTCCTCTGGGAAGCCTTCCTGGTGATGCTCTCTTCTGTGCAAATTCATAGAGTAGGAGAGGTGGGGAGGCCTTGGAGATATTTTGGCCCAGCCGTTCACTGTCTAGATGGGGACTCTGAGGCATAGAGGATTAAAAGGGAGCCTAGGAGACGAGTGCAGTGCCCATAGCCACATGGCAAGACTCTGTCCCCATAGTGGGCCAGAGTGGTCACCGGCAGCCAGACTAAACAATGCCCATGGTGTGGGGGGCTTCTGGGGTGTGGAGAGGGGCGTGCTTTTTGGTCTGGGCAGTAGTTACATGGTGTGCTCACTTGTGAAAATTACCCACATCATGCACTTTTCTCCATCTTGTTCGATAAGACAAATCCCCTGCAGCAGCTGGGATCAATTCCCGCCCTCCCAATTCACAGGCCCAGCCCATCCTTCCATGCCACTCTGCAGTCCCTCTTTGGCTTTCACCGTCCAGGGTCAGCCCATGGTCCACAAGGGAGGGGACAGGTGACCAGAGGACCTCAGGGAATGCGGATGGAGCTATGTACTGGCCGTGAGGCATGGAAGCCCCTCCTGGGGAGGTCACAGGAGTGGGCCTTTGGGGTTGCCAGTGACAGCAGGGCAGGAGGATAGGTTGGGGCGCCAATAAGGCTGTAGAGAATGGGCACCTAGGAAGCCATTGAAGCCAGAAATGCCCAGGTTAGATTTGCATTTTAAGGAGCTCCCTCTGGCTGCCGCAGAGGCCAGCCTGGAGGGGTGGGACGAGCATTCTCCTGGGGTCTCCAAGGACTGTCCCTTCCCCGCAAACCATAGCCAGGGCCCAGCCCCAGTGCCTTCGTGGAATCCAGCAGTGACGCTGAGGTGCTTTTCTTGCAATCACACTTCACCTCCGAGGCAGCTGGGACAGAGTGGCACCCGGGCCCCAGCCCCACCTTCTTTCCAGCCCTGCCCAGGAGGGAGAGGGCTGCCCACCCCCGCCCCGGACTTCAGTGCTGCCCCAGGACTCCGGGGAGGCGGGAGGCCACAGCGGGAACCGTCCCAGCTCTGTAGGGAGCTCTGCACTCTCCAGCTGAGCAGACCTGAGGATGGATGTAATTACACGCTCAGTGATGGGAGAAAGTTTGCCAAGTACAGAGCAGCGCAAAGAAGGAAACGTCGTCGGTGATGCAGCCCTGGCGGGCTCAGCTTTCTGGCCAGTTTCCGTCCGCTCTCTTCCTTTCCGTGTGGTCATAGTCGATATCACAGCATTACACAATACTATATCCTGATTTTTTCCAACTCATATTTTCTATTTATGGGATTCCCATGTCATCATAAACCCCCCATAAGCCTTTTTTTTGGGGGGGGGGTTTCATGGATTTTCTTTTAACAGCTTTATTGAGGTAGAATTCACATATCATACAATTCACCCACTTAAAGTGTATAACTCAGAGGTTTTCAGTATCTTCACAGATATGTGCAGCCTCACCACAGTCAATTTTAGAATATTTTCATGACCTTAAAAAAAAACCCATACTCTTTAGCTACCACTGCCCTGTACCCCACCTCCCCAGCCCTTGGCGACCAGTAATCTACTTTTTGCCTCTGTAGATTTCCCTGTTCTAGACATGTCCTGTGAAAAGAATCCTAAACTACGTGGTCGTGTGTGGCTGGCTTCTTTCACATCGCACAGTGTTTTTGAGGTTCACTTGAATGTACGTGTGTTTTAATATTGCAACGTATTTCAGCATGTAACTACACCCGAGTTTACAGGCCCGATCACTTACTGTTGGACACAGTACCACTTTCTAGGTTTTTACTACAGTAAATAACACTGTAATGAACATCTTTTTTTTTTTAAGAATGCTTTATTTGCATTTCTAATTTTCCTTAAGATAAATTCACAAAAATGTAGAAGTTGGGTCCAAAACTCCGAATATTTTTAGGGTCCTTGATCGTTATTATAAATTGCCTTCCAGAGAGATTTTGCTAATTTACACTCTTATCAATAGCATGTAGTGTTTCCCATGTAAACCTTTCCCCCCCAAGAAATAAAAATTAAACACTAAACCTCCCCCAGTTTGCTAGGTTAAAATACGGGGCTCAGCCTTGCTTTAATCAGCCTTCCTCGAGTCCCTGGTGGAGCCGAGTGGCCTTCGCCGCGTTTAGCCGTTCGTGGCTCTTGCGCTTGGGTTGCCTTTCAGAAGCTTTGCCTGCTTGTGTGTTAGGCCCTCACGCTTTCCGTGCGAGGGGGTCGTGTGACTAGCCTGCTGATGTTTTGTCTGTCCTGTGTCCTGTCAGTATCTCCTGGGCATGCTCCTATCTAGCATTTATACCCACAGTCTCTGGGTGTGGACGAAAGGTGCACCTTCCCGGGGGACTGTCACCTGGCCTTCCCCATCGCCCCTCACCCCTCCCCTGGGAGCCAGCTCCCCCAGCCCTGACACGCCCCCAGGAGCTGAGGACAGGGCCCCACCGCTGTGCTGCCTGCAGGTGGTAACTAGCCCAGACCTTGCACATTCCCGCTGCCACCCCTCCCCCACAGGGACCTTGTCCACAGCCGGACAGAGAGAAGGCAGCCCAGACGTCCCTCAGGACTGTTCTCCGTGGCCCGCCTCTCTCCCCTGCCCTTTCTGATGAGAGAGCCGCCCCCTCCTACCCCCGGCTCCCCCACCTGGGCATGGTCCTCACCCTCCCACCTTCTCTAGAGCTTTACTCTGACCATCCTCCTTTCCTCCCTGAGGACCCCCCCGCCCCAGGGCGTGGAAGTCCCTGCGGGGCTGGGCAGCCTCTCCGCTCCCTTTGCAGCTGGCCTGGCTGCCTCTCAGCGACCCTCTTAGCGCACTCCGGCCTGAGCTCTGCCTCCCTCCTGCAGATCCCTGGGCCTTCCCCTCTCCCCGGGGCTCCTGAGGGGCCTGCGTCTCTGCTCCCCTCAGCCTCCGGGCACCTGGTTCCCCTGCTCACCAGTCCTGGCTGGGTCACACGGTACCCCTCTGACCCTGTTCCTCCTCTGAAATGCAGGCAGCTGTGGAGCTCGGCCAGGCCCACACCAGAGGTGGGAGCTGCGAGCCTCCCACCCTGTGCAATGCCGCAGGCCTCTCCCCGGGGCCTCTCTCAGTGAGCCACACCACCTCCCGCCCCACACCTGAGCTTCCGGCTGGGTCCAGCCACGTGCCAGGCCATTGGCCCCTCAAGAGCAGATAGCACAGCTGGCCTTGAGACCAGGCTACCCGGGCTCCCTCCAGCCCCTCGTCCCCTCCCAGCACACAGACATGGATTTGCACTTTTGACTCTATAGCACCTCCCTGTTGTGGTGCTACCGGCCTAAAGTGAGTGCATTTTGGGGTCAGCTCCTGCCATTGCTGCTACAGGTGCGTGACCTGCCCTTTCTGACATCCAGGGGCAGCAGCCCCTGCACCAGAGAAACCCTGGCCTAGGTGGGGGGCAGGCCTGACCCAAACCCCAGTTGTCTGCCTCTGGGGTCCGGAGCAAGTACTGCAGCCGCAGAGCTCGGCTGGGGTCAGGGGATGAACAGGACATGCCTGTGGAGCCCCAGCTCAGCTCTGGCCCCAGCAGTCACTGGTGGGGACAGGGCTTCCATATTGTCATCAGGCAATCAGTGACCCTCCTTGATGGATTGGGAGGACAAGGGTGACCCCCATGTCCACAGTGTGAGCATCCCCAATATTTAATGCTGGGCCAAATGCAGAACGTGGGGGTGGGTGCCTGTGAACAGGCCCCTTGGTGCTCTCCGCTTTATCTGGAAGGGACCGTCCTCATTGCAAGGAGCGGGAGAAACAGGTCTGGGTTTTTCCTCCCCTCCCCTGCGTCTGCTGCGGAGGCTGAAGGGCCTCCCAGGGAAGATTAATGCTTTTGTTTTCACCTCTGCCGGGAGGCGAGTTTGGCGGCGGCGGGCTCTGCAAAGCTCTGAGCACCCTCCGCGGCGGTGCGAGGCGGGCACCGCAGGCGGAGAGGAGCCCAGCATCGCAGAAGGGGAGCCGCCGCCACCGCAGTGGCACCGCCCGACGCTCAGCCGGCGTGCCCGCACCCAGCCGGCGACAGTGGGCTCCTGGGGAGCAGCAGGAGCAGGTGGCAGGATCCGAACAAAAAAGGAAAGAAGCTGATCCCTGGCTGGAGGGGGTCGGCCGATGGGACTGGGCTCTGGTGCGGGGCACCGTGCAGGTAGGAAGCCTGGCCGGGAGCCGTGCTGGGCTGCACACGGGTGGGTTTGTGGGGATGGTAGGTCAGGTGTGAGGCCCCCAGAGGCACCTGCCACCCCAGCTGTGCCCCCTGAGATGCTCGTCAGCATCCGGGCTTGCTGCTCTGCAGAGCTCAAGCGGGAGCGCCTCCCAGGTGCCCCACCGCCAGCAGGAGCCCTCGTCTGCACTGCCTGCGTGCGACAGGCACAGTGCCATCTTAATGCCAGGCGCCAGCAGTGCCCGCCGTGAAATGTGCATTCGGTGGCGACGGTGGGGATTTTCCTCCCCCCCCCCCCCTCCCTCAGTTACTCCTAAATATCCCCTCGTGTCCCTTAATACATGTTTTCCTGCACCCTGCTTGTCTCTGGGTATCTGTCGGGTGAGCCAGCTCCATGCTGGGGTCCTGAGGGGTCGTGGGGGTGCTTCGGCTGAGACGGATGGCTGGAATGTGGGGGGCTGGGCGCAGGGGTGGGTGGCTGCCTGGCACAGGTGCTGCGGTGCTGGCTCCTGGGGAGGGATGGAACCCCCCCTACAGAGCGCTGGGACGTGGCTGGTGATGCCCAGGGGCCAGTGGGGTAACTAGACTCTCGACCAGGT